TATTTCATTGAATAGATTGCTCAATCCTTTGGTTTGAAACTCTGTCCCTTCCTGTATCCCAATGACTCTTAAATTTGGTCTCTTGATGTTATCCCATATTTCTTGGATGTTCTGCTCATGGTTTCTTAACAGTCTTGCTGAGCTGTCTATGTTCTTTTCAAGTTGAAATACTTTATCTTCATTGTCTGATGTTCTGTCTTCTAAGTGTTCTACTCTGCTGGTAGTATTCTCAATTGAGTTTTTAAGTTGGCTTATTGCTTCCTGCATTTCTAGGATTTCTGTTTGTTTGTTTTTTATAACCTCTATTTCCCTGTGTAGTTGATCTTTTGCTTCTTGGATTTGTTTATGTAATTCATTGTTGAAGTGATCTTTCATTGTCTGATTTTGCTGTCTGATGTCTTCCTTGAGACTCCAGATCATCTGAAGCATGTATATCCTGAATTCTTTATCTGACATTCCATCTGCTGCAGCTATTACCTCTTCTAATGTTGAGTTGACCTGCATTGCTTGTGGTCCTTTCTTTCCTTGTCTCTTCATACTGTTTGCGTTCCTTTCTACTTAGTGAAACTGTTGTGTTATTGAATTTTCCCCCTATATATTTATATTGGTCTTGTATAGTTGCAAAGTCTCCCTCGCAGGCGCGGGCGGCGGCTCTGTCCCACTGCGGGCCGCTAGGCTTGTTCTGTGGGTGGTCACAGTTCTGTCTACTTTGCAGGTGCAGGCAGCGGCACTGCCCCTCTGCAGGCCTCTGGGGCTGTACTGCCAGTGGGTCGCAGGTCCGCCTACCTTGCAGGTGCGGGGGGAGGGGGGCGGCTCTACCCTTCCTCAGGCCACTGGGCCTGTTCTGTCTCTCGGTTGCAGGTCTGGCCTGTTCTGATGGTGGTCACAGTTCCACCTACCTGGCAGGCGCGGGGGGTGGGGGGCGGCTCTGCCCCCCAGCAGGCCCCTGGGCCTGCTCTGTGCGTGGTCACAGTTCCCTCTACCTTGCCGGTGCAGGGGGAGGGGGCGGCTCTGCCTCCCAGCAGGCCGCTGCTCCTCTTCTGCCAGTGGGTCGCAGGCCCGCCTACCTTGCAGGAGTGATTGGAAGCTCTGTCCTGCCGCGGGCCACTCGGCCTTTTCTGTCGGTGGTCACAGTTCCACCTACCTGGCAGGCGCGGGGGGTGGGGGGTGGCTCTGCCCCTCAGCAGGCCGCTGGGCCTGCTCTGTGCGTGGTCACAGTTCCCTCTACCTTGCCGGTGCAGGGGGAGGGGGCGGCTCTGCCTCTCAGCAGGCCGCTGCTCCTCTTCTGCCAGTGGGTCGCAGGCCCGCCTACCTTGCAGGAGTGATTGGAAGCTCTGTCCCGCCGCGGGCCACTGGGCCTTTTCTGTCGGTGGTCACCTGGCAGGGGCGGGGGGTGGTGGGTGGCTCTGCCCCTCAGCAGGCCGCTGGGCCTGCTCTGTGCGTGGTCACAGTTCCTTCTACCTTGCAGGTGCAGGGGGAGGGGGCGGCTCTGCCTCTCAGCAGGTCGCTGCTCCTCTTCTGCAGGTGGGTCGCAGGCCCGCCTACCTTGCAGGAGTGATTGGAAGCTCTGTCCCGCCGCGGGCCACTGGGCCTTTTCTGTCCGTGGTCACAGTTCCCCTACCTGGCAGGCGCGAGGGGTGGGGGGCGGCTCTGCCCCTCAGCAGGCCGCTGGGCCTGCTCTGTGCGTGGTCACAGTTCCCTCTACCTTGCCGGTGCAGGGGGAGGGGGCGGCTCTGCCTCTCAGCAGGTCGCTGCTCCTCTTCTGCCGGTGGGTCGCAGGCCCGCCTACCTTGCAGGAGTGATTGGAAGCTCTGTCCTGCCGCGGGCCACTCGGCCTTTTCTGTCGGTGGTCACAGTTCCACTACCTGGCAGGCGCGGGGGTGGGGGGTGGCTCTGCCCCTCAGCAGGCCGCTGGGCCTGCTCTGTGCGTGGTCACAGTTCCCTCTACCTTGCCGGTGCAGGGGGAGGGGGCGGCTCTGCCTCTCAGCAGGCCGCTGCTCCTCTTCTGCAGGTGGGTCGCAGGCCTGCCTACCTTGCAGGAGTGATTGGAAGCTCTGTCCCACCGTGGGCCACTGGGCCTTTTCTGTCGGTGGTCACCTGGCAGGGGCGTGGGGTGGGGGGTGGCTCTGCCCCTCAGCAGGCCGCTGGGCCTGCTCTGTCCATGATCACAGTTCCCCTACCTGGCAGGCGCGAGGGGTGGGGGGCGGCTCTGCCCCTCAGCAGGCCGCTGGGCCTGCTCTGTGCGTGGTCACAGTTCCCTCTACCTTGCCGGCGCAGGGGGAGGGGGCGGCTCTGCCTCTCAGCAGGTCGCTGCTCCTCCTCTGCCGGTGGGTCGCAGGCCCGCCTACCTTGCAGGAGTGATTGGAAGCTCTGCCCTGCCGCGGGCCACTGGGCCTTTTCTGTCCGTGGTCACAGTTCCCCTACCTGGCAGGCGCGAGGGGTGGGGGGCGGCTCTGCCCCTCAGCAGGCCGCTGGGCCTGCTCTGTGCATGGTCACAGTTCCCTCTACCTTCTGATTTTTACCTTTTAAATATTGAGATGTCATATAAAAACTTCACTAGAAAAAAGTTCTCCTGCTAAAGAAAAGTCTGAGCCAGGCACAGTGGTGCATCCCAGTTACTCAGGCTGAAACAGGAGGATCACAAGTTTGAGGCCAATCTGGGCCACTTGGTAAAACCATGTATCAAAATAAAAATAAAAAGGGGTGAGGATGTAGCTCAGTGAGTGGCCCTGGGTTCAATCCCAGCACTAAAAAGGAAAGGAAGGAAGGAAGAAAGGCAGAGAGAAAAAATCTGAAAGTCATTGGACTGGATCAAGGATTCTTAAACCTGGCTGGCTGCTCAACAATTACCAAAAGCTTTTCAAATTAAAAATCCCTAGGCCACATCTCTAGGCCTAATGCAAAGGTACTCTCCCAGGGATTCTTGTGCAGTCATCCCAAAGCTAACCCTCAGTGTTTGAGAAGCACTGGACTAATGAACCCTTGCTTTCCCAAGAGTTGATGACAAGACAGAAATTTAAATAGGTAAGCAAAAATTTCAGGCAAAAGAGCTGGAGGTAGCAGCAGATAGGAAAATAGAACATAGACAACTAAATCACTAGGGTTTAATGAAGGAGAAAAAACAAAAACAAAAACAAAACCAACCTTGTAAATGAGGATCTTGGCTGGGACTAGAAGTTCCTGTGGAGATCTCTTTGCCTGGAAAAGGGCCTATTTTTTCTCACAACCTACAGTAATTGTCCATACTGGTAATGGTAGTCAAAATGATTTAATTTACTCTTTTTAATTTCAAAAAAGTAAATTATATATGTGAGCCACATATATAATTTAAATTTCTAGTAGCCATGTTAAAAAAGTAAAGAGATAAAATGGATTTTAATAATATATTTTATTTAACTCAATGTATCCAAAATTTCATTCATTTCAATATGAAATTCGATAAAAATTGAATAATTTACCTTTTTTTAATACTAAATTTTCAAAATCTTTCAGCCCACCTTAACTCAGACAAACTACATTTTAGAGTGCTCTATAACCCATACGTGGTTAGTGGCTACCATACTGCACACTATACGACTAATTAATAAAAGATCAGTAAACTTCCTTTTTAATCTGATATTCTGTTGGAATAAAAACATTAAAAAAGTCCCCAAATCACTTTCCCAGTCTTATAGACCTGCCCCAGAGGCAGTCTGATAACAAGTTTTGTCTGGAGCTATTACATCCCACTTTGCATTTCTAGCCCAGATACTTTTTCTCCCTCTTCCCAGCAGCAGTCTCTGTATTCTGGACATTTTTTACCAGATTATCCTTTTCTCAAAGCCTATTTGAATGTTTACATCTAAATTCATCATCTTTTTTTTCCAAAATAAAAAATCAGTTAACTTCTTGATTTTCTTAGCAGTGACCTAAGTTCAAAACTTCAAATTCTTCCTTTTCCTTTATTTTGTACAAGTACCAAGTTCTATTTATTCTTCCTTCACGAGCTCTCTCACTAGCTCTCTCCTGCTTCAAGTTATCCCTGCTGATCTGTCCAGCATATTGTTACCAAATATGTATATAATCATTTCTCCTTGGTGGCTCTATAGCATCTTGTACTTCAGCTATGAATTTAGGACCATGCATAATCTTGCTCCCATCCTAACATCTGGCCTATATCATTCCAATCTTATCTTTCAATAGTCTCCTAGATGTGCTTTTTCTTTTTTTAAGCCAAACTGCCCTGTTTATTGTCTCCTAAAAATGCCTTGTACTTCCTCATCTCTGTTTTATGACTTTCTTCTCATTCAGAATGCCCTTAATCCAGCTCTACCTATCCAAATCATTAGTCAACAAATATTTCTGTGTCAGGCTTTGTGCCAGGAACAGGAGGCAGAATAAATAATCCTAATTTTAGTTCTGCTCACTCTAAGAAGCCTTCCTGACTATGCCCATACACAAGTTGTTTTACATTACTTATTTGTTCTTCATAAGGCTTATGTCCTCTATAACACTCACTGGGCCCTTATAATTTACTGTTTGGTATTGTTGATTATCAGCTTTTCCTATACATACCTATTTACCTATCTTCCCAAATAGTGTTGGATTCTCTGAAAGCAGGGACTTCCCCTGATGCTTAGGAAGCAGCAGGTGCTGTATATACAATTGGCTGATTGACAACAATTTGTAAAGATGAAGGGCCTGTGGGGTGAGAGGAGGACCCTGCCTAGGAAAGAGCCTCCCACCCAGTCTCTACCCAGTAATACACTGGCAAGTCAGGATCAGAGGTAAGGAGGGAGGGCTGGCTTAAAGCACTAGGGAAGTTCCACTTTTCCAATTTCATTAGAAAAGCAATTTAGAACTAGAAACACATTAAGTCAGGACTGGTTACCCTTGCTTTTCTCTACAACCTAAATAAAAACAATAGTTTTTAAAATCCTTTCTTGGTACTAAATTTAAATAATATCACTGGTGATATGTAATAAACATACATAATATCAGACCTAAAAAAGAGAACTCACCACATATTGTGCTCAAAAACTTTGGATGGGTCAGTTAAAATTCTTGATCCCAGAGGGGCCACTGGGTGGGAACCACTGTGGCATCTGTGTGGCACCTTTCTTAGTCTTAGGCAGCAAATATAATTTCTCCAAATCACATTCATCCTCAGCAGTACCTGCAAAGTCACAAATAATTAGTCAGTATGGACTAAATGGTATATTGCTTAATAGTCAAAACTGGTTCCTACAGGTTTACAACCTCAGAAAGGACGTGGAAACCAAACATTTAAAAATGAAAGATGGGTACGATAGTGCCTCTTCTGAATTATTCTCAGGCCAAAAGAAAGGAAAGTTTAGGGTGGGTAACATTGGCTGGAATTTTTCATAAACTACAGCCTCCACCAACTGTGCTTTGTAGGGTATGTGCTTACTTAATTTTTAGCATGTGGCCAAATTATACAAGCCCAAAATCTGAATTTTGCATACAAAAGACAGTTTTTTAAAAAAGATTTTACTATTTTGTTTTGGGAATTCTAGGAAATATATTTCTAGGAGATAGTTCAAGACCAAAAACCCCAAGTGTAGTGGCAAAATAAGAAAACAAGCCTTTATTAAATCTCATTCTTCATACGGAACTAATACAAAAAATTATTCAAATAAATAAATACCATATTAAGACAGGATCCTAGCAATTCTTAATATTAACAATTCTATATACATATATTTTTTGAAGAATAGTCAGTAATATGGTTGTATAATGGATTGCCCTTTATAAAATACAAGCTTTAATCCTCGCCCAAGAGAACTGCTTAGTTGATTAGCCCAAATTGATCCCTATTTTGGAAGACTAATTGAAAGAGTATGACATCTTGGGCTGGGGTTAGCTTAGTGGTACAGCGCTTGCCTACCATGTGTAAGGTACTGGGCTCGAGCCTTAGGACCACATAAAAGTAAATAAATAAATAAAGGTATTGTATCCATCTGTAACAAAAATATATATATTTTTAAAATAGCATGACATCTTTTATGTACTGGTAAATATATCACTTTAAAATCTTTATGGAAAAGTGTTTTGTTTTGTTTTTAAGGAAAATAAAGACATTATAAAGAGCGTGGCACAGTGGCACAGTGACTCTGGAGGCTGAAGTAGCAGGATGGCAAGTTTGAGGCAGGCATGGACAACTTTCCAAGACTCTGTCTCCAAAAAAAGAAAAAAAAAGCTGGAGATGTAGCTCAGTGGTATAGCACTCCTGGGTTCAATCCCCAGCAAGCAGATGATGGTATTAAGGAACTCTAGAAGAGCTTTCTTTTCCCAATAAGAATCTATTGTAATGGTGTTCAGCATTTCAACTTGTTCATCACAAGATGCAGCCTGGTGCTGTAAGCTGTCAGGTAGAAACAGATGCTGAAAGGTGTGTATACATAATATGCATTAAGGGCTATTGGAAGTGCTATTAGGCATAAAAATGCAATGTATTATACATCCTTTGCCACCTTACTGAAAATTAATGGAATTTAAGACTGGGAATTCCAAAATGAACTGCAGAAAATTAAAAAAAAAAATTTCATTGTGCTTTTAAACATAAAATTCAGGATTTTGCCTTTTGAAAAAAAAAAAAAAAAAAGGAGGGGGTAAGCTTAGTCATACACACCCAAAGGACTGCAATAGTTCTGTTCACATGTGACTAACAGTGATGAGAAATGAAGCATTCAGTAGCTGGTGCAGAAGCCTGTTTCTTGTTTATTTTTCTTCTCCACTAAATGCAAGTTCTTTGGTGGAGCAAATGAAATAAAATGCTCCACCTACTATACCTTTACCCTGAAGCGCCTTTGTTCTTTTTGCTAGCCAGTGTTCTACTCACAAAACGCTGCCTACAAATTATTTTTAGATCTCTTTCTGCACTGAATATTATTCACAAAATGTTGTGTATGCTGAAGAGTAGAAACTGATTACACCTAGAAAGAGAGGCAATTCATGCTCACAAGGCTAAAATGATGTAAATGTTTCTCACCAGGAAAGTCAAATTGAAATGAAATTTTAATCCAAATAATCATGTGATACTTATCTATAGCTATATATAGAAAAAGAAAAGAGAAGAAAAAAGGTAAGAGTTTTTCCTCATTATAAACGATCAAGAACCTCTGTAGACAGTCAGAGGCTAAATAAATAGATAAATAAATAAAACCATACTGTTTATTAGGAAATTCAAGAAAATGTCAGAGAAATGTATGCCTTGCAGGCTGCTAGTTTGTAGAGAGAATCCTTTGTGGCCAGGGCCTAACATGGTAATTTCCTTGCTTAGGCAACTGTTTCTCTCATTAACCAAACATCTTTATCTACTTCATTTATCTGTAACAGTCACACACAGTATTGTGTTGCTATTTATCTTTTAAATTATACAAATATACAATAAATTTATATAATATAAAATACAACATAGATTAATACATAATAAAATCATGAAAATGCCTTCTCATCTAAATCGAAAGCTTCTGGAGGCAACACAAAGCTGCTCATGAATTAAATGTTTGAGTGATTACATAAAAATGAAACTTGTCTGACATTTAATTGGAAGGAAATTCATATTCTCACTTATAAAAAGAGTGACAGTATACAGGCAATGATCATGTTATATTGACTAAAATACTCTACAAAACATGTTTTATGACATGTTAAATGTAAGGTTACCAGGTCATGGTTCCATGTTGGGATGGGAAAAGAAAGGCAGAACTAGCACCAAATAGTTTTGGTAGTAAAAGTTGGTTTGCAGCACCACAGTGACCCATTCACTTTATGTGCCTCCCTTAAACTCTCTTGGCATACTCTAATTTGAATACAAGTTTAAGATATTATTCACATAATGAAACTGTGTGCCTAAATAGTATTTTTATTTGAAATGATACACAACAGTATAGTTTAAAATATTTCATTGACCCAAAAGAAGGCAGTAAAGAAACAAATGGAATTTTTAAAATTACCAAGGTTTATTTATTTATTGCAGTGCTAGGGACTGGACACATGACAGCATACATGCTAAGCAAGTGCTCTACCACTGAGCTACAGCCCTAGCCCCAAGATGGCAACAATATTAAATGTAAATGGATTCTAACTAACAATAATCGAAAGAACACTATACCTAATGACAGCAGAATGCTCAATCTCTTCTTAACATGAACCTGCAACATTCACCAAAATAGGCCCTTTTTACTGGACTATAAGACAATCTCATTAAATTCCAAAAAACTGAAATGTTTGAAATAAACAATATCTAGAAAAATTCCCAAATACTTGGAACTAACCAACATGCTTTTAAATAATCTATGGGTTAAGACAAACTCTTAAGGGAAAATTTAAAAATATGCTGAACTGGGGCTGGGGTTTCAGCTCAGCAGCAGAGCACATGACTCACACTTGTGAGGCACTGGATTCGATCTTCAGCACCACATAAAAACAAAGAAAATAAATAAAGAAAGATATTGTGTCCATATTAAAAAATCTTAAAAAATATGTTGAACTGAATTATAATCACAAAATATCAAAGTATATGGGGTACAAGTAAAGCAGTAGTTAGAGGAAAATGTATCATTTTTAATGTCTCTATTAGGAGAAAGATCCCAATCAATGATCTCAGCTTCTTCTTTAAAAATGGAAAATAAGAAGTAAACTAGACCCAAAGTAAGTAAAAGAAATGAAATCATAAAAAAGAGGAAATCAAGGAGATAGAAAATAGACAAAACAAGGAAAATGAAAACCTAAAATTAGTTCTTTGAAAACAATAATAAATGGCGGCAGGCACGGAGGTATCAAGTCTCTGACCTCTCCAGCTGCGCAGGCATAGGGAGTCTTAAATCGTCTAAATGCTGTTTGCTCAAGATCACTAGGCATTGCTGAGCTAACGTCGATCTGGGGCGAACAGTCTGGGCCTCTCAGAACACACATGGAGCCCGTAGGGGCCGAATTCAGGCTCCTGTTCGCCTGCATCTCGCAGACAAACTGCTCTGGCTTGGTGCTAAAGAATCCGCGGAAACTGCTTCTTGGTCCGGGTCCCCCCGAATACTGTGGAGGTAAATACCAACCGAGCCTTCATAGGCAGTGGCAACAGGATTGAGACGGGGCTTGGGAGGGCCGGTCAGGACCCACCTGTTGCTTTGGTCACCCGGCAAAGGGAACAAAATGCTGCCATTCGCATGGGATATCAACATGGCAGAGAACTGACGTCACCAGAAAGCGGCGGCAGAGGAGATAACTTTCTTGATACCAGCGGCGACAGGTGTGTAATCCCCTAGCCCCCCTCCACACAGCGGGGAAACCTCAAGGGCCCCTCCCAGCTCTCCTGTGAGTGCGATAGTCAGACCGAGGGATTCAGGAGTGGCGCGGGACCCCGGCTACTGCTCCCACCAGGGCAGACAACTGAGGTCTCTTGCACCAGCTCCCAGGGGCGTGGGTACCGGAGGGCAAGCAAAATACGCCGAAGGCTCTCAGCCCCAAGCTCCACAACCTTAGGGGCTGAGGGATTGGCAAGCAGGGAGAGTGTGCCCAGTTGTTCAAGAAGATAGGGCTCCCGTGAGCAGTAGACCTGGCGCGTAACCAGTATTGTGGTGAGCGTCACCTGTGAATGGGGCCAGTGGCAAGGTGACTAGACACAAGAAACGGCCCAAGGCACTCAGGAGTGGAGACCCGCCTAGTCGGGGAGGAGGAGCTGCTGCACAGTGATTGGTTCCCCCGCACTGAGAGGAGAAGCTTGGCCCGGTAGGCACAGCTCCACCTACTGGAAGAGAAGTTAATCGAACTCTAAGACTGCATTTTTTTTTTTAATTTTTAATTTTAATTTTTTTTCTTTTTTAATTTTTTTTCTTAATTATCACAACACAATAATTATGGGTGACTTCAACACTCCTCTCTCACCATTGGACAGATCCTCCAAACAAAAGTTGAATAAAGAAACTATAGAACTCAATATCACAATCAATAACCTAGACTTAACTGACATATATAGAATATATCAACCATCATCAAGTGGATATACTTTTTTCTCAGTAGCACATGGATCCTTCTCAAAAATAGACCATATATTATGCCATAGGGCAACCCTCAGTAAATATAAAGGGGTGGAGATAATACCATGCATTTTATCTGATCATAAAGGAATGAAACTGGAAATCAACGATAAAAGAA